TCGGCACTCCCTTTAAATGTGCTAGATTAGAAGGACGTGGTGCACAGTACGTCAGGTGGCCACATAAACAAAGGCCACAGAGCCTGGGAAAGGCTGTATTAATGTGTCTCCTGCTAGGTAGCAAAACGGCCAAACCCTTTCCACTCCTGCAGCAGTACGCAGCCTGACACAGCTAAACAGTCACCTCTCCTTCTCATTTTATACTCACCCAATGATTATAATTTGGTTTTCCAAGTTACTGTCTATGGGGAAAGCATGCTCAGTCATGCTGTCCAATTTCCTGCAGTAGGTCTCCCTTTCACAGTAAATGTATGATTGCTTTCTAGCTTACACATCAGTCTCTTATAAACTTAGCTAGCGTGAATCTGGCCCTGAGAGTGTCACCTGTTCTGGAGTATCTTAAAAGAATGGAGGTCCTTAATAGCAGATTCCAGACAGGAAGCAGCTCCGTTGTGGTGTTATGGTAAAGCTAGCTCTGAGGAATCCGGATTGACCAATGGCTGACTTTTCTATTATTAGCTGACTCCCCACCTCAAAACACTTGAATGAGTAGTGTAGACAGATTATAGTTTATTTTAACACTCCTCTTACTGTTTGTAACTATTGATATTAAAGAGCATTTTAAAGTTGCCTATAAATGTAATCGCAATAACTATGTGCCGAAAATTTACTAAGCTTTGTGCAAATACTTTGGGTATCAGTGTATTATCTCACTTAAACCTTACTATAACCTAGAAGCTAAGCATCATCATACCTATTTTACAGATGAAGAATCAGTAGGACTTAGCAAGTCTAAGTAGTTTATATAAGGCCACACAAAAAAAGAGATGGGTTAGGATTTGAAAGCAGATCTATGTTACACCCAGCATACCCTGTGCTACAAACAATGACCATACTTCTTTCTTGCTTATTTCCTTGGGATTCATTTCATGGAACTAAAGACTAAGTTATATAATGCTCTTTCCATCTCTGTGCACATGTGCTTGGGAGCTCTGCTCTCTCTGTGTAACTGTAGGAGGGAACAGCAGATCTTGAATTTGGTCCTGCCCACCCCAGGGCTCACGGGATCAAAGTTTAGCTTTACACAAGCTCATCTTACTACTCTTTTCTTGTCCAGATTCATTCTGTCCCAATTTTCTGCTGTAGTTTGGGGCTATTTTGGGCCTTTATTTTTTCATGAGTGCATGTAATACCATGGTAACCAAATTATATTTTCATTCATTCTCATTCCATTTTAGGTTTATGATTTAAATAATCCAGTTGAATTTGAATCAAATTACCTTATCTCTTTTGGATTTCATGGCTCCCACCCCACCCTTCCATATCTGTGTTTCTCATTTTAAGTTTCTCATTGAAAAGCTACTGGAAATGTGCTTTGGGAATAATGTGTATTCCTTTTCCTTTGAATTTCAAAGAACACTTGTAATTTACAATTAAAGTAAGCACCACCTTCATACGTCTTAGCAACACCCTTCCTTTCCTGCCTCCATACAAATCCATTGATAATGAGGGCAGTAAGGTAACAGGAAGGGAAATAATATTCTAGCAACCTATTTCTTTTTCCCTCAATCTTCTAACAATTGAGAGGAATATTTTGAAGCAATCACTCATGAAGTTCCCAGGCTGACACTTAGGGAGATGCAGATTTGTAGAGGACAAACATGTTCATTCACTGCCTTAACCAGGTAGGGGAGGACTGGCTTTTATGTTCAGTATTTATGTGCCTTACTCATCTGCACAATTCCTTAGTGACAGACATTTTAGATGTTCCCAACTTTCCACCATTGCAAACTATGCTGCCTTGAGTTGACAGTGGCAGTAAACGCTCATGTAACACTTTATACGTTACATCATATACACTGCTCTGCTCAAAGTAGCTTCTATTTTATTTAATTGTCACAAAGCCACCTGATGTCTGTACCTCATTTCTGATTTTGAATGGGAAACGAAACCTAGAGAGGTTAAGTAACTTGCTTACAAATCTGCTGAGAGGAAGAGCTGAGTCATGAAGCTAGGCTCTCTGGCTCTGGAGACTGTTCCTGACTATTACTCTGTGCTCATTCTTAGGTGGGAAGGTTGTGACAGAAGCTCAGGGAATGCAAGTTGCATGAGTACAAGGTATGTCCATCTATTAGGTGAGGATGGGCATTTCTGTCTGCCCAGAGACCCCAAGATACTACAGTACCCACATACTTGGAACAATGTCAGACACCTGGGACATGCTAGAGAAATGTTTATGGATTGAATGAACAAATACATGAATTGACAATTCAGTCAATCTAAATGAAAAAATCATGCATTGATTTGGTGCTACCCTTCTGAAGTGGGTTACTTGAGCAAGTATGATGTTGACAAGCCCAGGGTTCACACTGTAAACCCCCACATTGCAGTCTGGGCGGTTGCTTCATGCTTTGAAATTCCTCACTCTGACTTGAAAGCAAGTTCTGTTAATATATACAGCTTTGCTGGTGCTTAGCTCATACTTTTATACCTACGGGGGTGGCTAAGTTTCAGAGGGGAATGGATCCCTCTCTGTGTATGTAAAAGCACTGTAATTATCTTAGTTGCTTTGAAGCCTGAGAAAGGTGCAAAATAAATATTTCAAAAGCACTTATAATGAGAGGCATAAGCAACTCCTCCCAACAAACAAAAAGAATTATATCCACCTGTTCTGAAAAATACTGGAAGCCCTTGTCCTCACGGATACACTCATACGTTTCTCCAAGAACCGGATTGAAGGGTTTGCTCCCAGCTCGGAGGTAGCTCGAAGCATATGCAGACACAGCAAAGGCGGCCACATACACCTAGGAGAGGGAGGGAAGTACTTGTTATTTCTCTGTCACTCAGACATTTATTTTTACAAAGACATGAACAAAACAAAGCCTGATTTCTTTCTTTTTGGCTTATTTCTGAGAGCCAAAGATGAGTCTCTGGGTTTAAAAACAACCAAGCCAACCGGTTTAAAGTTGCAGCTTTAAAATAAAGTTCTCCTTGGCTTAGAGACAAATGAACCAGACATTTTCAAACTTCTTGTTTTGCTGCCTAAAGTTGGTAGAGACTTCCAAGATGGCAAGTTGGAGGCTGAGTTTGGGAGCTTTAAATGTGACAGTACCTGAGAATCCTGATGTCATCCTAAGGCTTTTGACAAAAGGTGAAAGATTTATACAACCTGAAAAGAAACCAAAGTATGCTAAGGCTTTTTTTTGGGAAGGAGGAGGAGGGAGACCATTAAAAATACGAAACTTCCTCAAAATTCAGGAGTAAGCATTTGTAGTTTAACCATCCACAATTTCCTTCTGTACCAATCTAAAATTCATTTTGAACAAAGAAAAATCTGAGTCATTTCCTGAGCCACAGGATGGGATGTGGTGCCTTTAAAAAGGTTCTGCTTTTCTGGAGAAGAAATGAAAAATCCAAAAGACAAAAGAAGGAAAACTATACAGGAACAAGAAATGTTCCCTTCACTATGAAGTTCTCTGCATGTCTATCACATCCCCTTTTGGGGCCCAAGAGATCCATTATTATTTTTACCTTCTTATTTGGTGGACAGGGGAGCAAAAATTAAACCTAAGATAGCAAATATTCCTTTCTAACACTGAGTAGCAGTCTCAATGTTTTTTCTTCCCAACACACATTATGTTTCTTAAATTGAAAAAAAAAAGTTGAGGGCTTTTCACAGATGTTCACCTTTCTTAGCAAAGGAAACTCACCTCCTGCCATCTTATACTCTAGAACATTCGAGAGCAGCAGATAGCTTACCAGAATCAATTAGCCATGCTCAACCCAGCCTTTGTTCCTGAAATCTGAGGGCAGCTTCCTTGAACAGCAAGGTCACACCACCCAGATGGAATGTAGAATTAACCTTAAGTGCCTTCACATTTACAATATAATGAAATTTATAGGAGGAACAATATCATTCAAAATGCTAGGGGGAAAGGAGGAAAGGGCAGGGGATGTGAAGCATCCTCCTTCTGGGTTGGTGACAGAGAGCAAGGTCAGGCAGGAGCATCAGCTGAACCTCAAGAGCAGGGAACACAATCCACTGGACCTGGATACCTACATTCATCCTGCACTTTCTCTCCTGAATGTATTGTGCTGGGCTGCGAAGCCTCTCCTCACAAGCCATCTCAAGGTCATTTACACCAGTCAATCAGCTGACATCCTAAGGGTCTCTAAAGAATGAAATACTTTTAATATACTTTCAACCTCAAAGTCAGTTGTTCCCTTTAAAGAAAAGAGTAGTCCACAAATGTAGACTTCACACTTGCCTTAGAAGCTATAATATTTGCTTCCCTTCATTCAGCAGAAATTCTCCGTGGAAAAGTAACACAAAGATTTTAAAAAGTCTTGTTTTTATTCTGCTACTCTCATTACCATTAGTTTCAAGACAGTCTCCCTGGTGTGATGTCTCTGGAGATGGTGAGGAATGACTAAGGATGTTTCTTTCAGTCTCTCTTAAGCTTTCCCCTTCATCTTCAAATCACTTAAGTAATGAAGTTTTAATGAGGTTAAAATGCAGAATGCTAAGGATTTGGAAAACAATCGAGTCCTCCATCAGTCACAGAGTGACATGGTTAGTTTTAGGTCCATAATGCTGAGGGGCCATGACAACTCCAACTTAACCAATCAGCAAAATCCCAGGACCAACACGGCACCTGGGGAAGGACACTGCTGTCCCAGGATCCCATATAAACATGAACCTCCCTGTTGAGCAGGTAATATAATGAGGAAACAAAAAGAGGAAGAGGTACTCTGTTTTGAAGAACAAAGTCAGCTGTGACCTCAGAAAGGGCTGTTTGGTCACACTCAGTACCAGGTTATCCCTGCCTGCACCCTAGACAGGACAGCTTAAGAAACAATGGAAGCCTTGTCACCTGTTTTGACATTATACAAAGTAGAGAATAGAGGTGAATTTTTCTAGTATGAACTTTTGAAAAAGGATTTTTGTAATGTATTCTATAAAATAAGAGAGGGTGAGAAGCATAGTACTGGTACAAAAATCTCTTCTGTGAACGACATTTGCTGAAAATCTAGAAGTTGAAGGGACAATTCCAAAAATAAACAAAACGTTCTCAAGGGAAATTTAGCCTGGATGAGAAAAACAGTTAGCTCGAGAAATTAAATTCTGTCTACCCAGGGTAGTAAAAGGAAACATGCAGACAATGCTCAAGATATGGTTCCCAGGCATATCAGAACAACTCCATGGAGGTTCTGAAGACAGAGGAAGCATGAAACCCAGAGCAGAAGGACTCCCCGCCACCAGCCATCACAGAGAAGTACCCCGCCATCAGCACCATCAGAGCCCCGGAAAATCGACCATGTGACTCAAAGCAGACATGATTCTGACATGACGCTGTCTAGAAAACCAGCGAAGGGCAAGCATGGGGCGTGGCCCAGGCCAGCAGGTGTCAGCTCTGCTGCCCTGGAGTTGCCTGGAGGCTCAGGGGCGGTGACCCTCACCATCCGCTCCAGGGCATCAGGAATGTGGGCGGCCTTGTCCAGAAGCTCACTGTACTCCAGCTCCTCACAGAGCCTCTGCAGCGTGTTCAGGGGTTCGTTGAGCTCCACCGGCATGGCCACCTTAGACAGGTCCTTCCCGATGTTATTTCTCAGGATGTTCCACAGGCTGATGTTACTGGTGTTGGGGCACGGTGCCGGCAAGCACGTCCTCCTTCTGGATGTGGATTCCCCACCACTTTCAAGAATGGGTCCTAAGAGGGAAATAAGCCCAATGTCCGAGGGGTTTTTATTTAATTATTTAAAAAAATCCAAGAATAAAAACTTCCTAACAGGGACGCTATTTTACTTTTAAAGTCAGTTATCTAAGTTATCTAAAATAGGAAGGAAAGCAGAAAAAAGGAAATGAATTCTAAATGGTTTCCTACTCAGAAGCTAATGTGTGTGTATGTATACAAAATAAAATCAGAAATTAGATGTCTATGCCTATAGCAGGTTTATACTATTAAACTTTTTTTAAAAAAGCACTTCAAATTCCTTTAAAAACTCAAATTCTTTTTAAAAATCATTTAAAATTCTGATAAAACCATTTGTGTTTATTACAAGGAATTTACAAGGGAATAGAAGTCATCTATTAACTCACCACCCAGAAATAACAGCCATATATATTTTGGAGAGTTTTCAGTTAGTGTTTTCTCCAACTATAACCAACTCATACTGTATGCATACTTTATGTTCTGTTTATTTAGTTAACATTAAGTATTTTTCTATGCTATTACAAATTCTGAAACCAGATCCTCCCTGGTGGCACAACAGGTTAAAGTGCAGCACAGCAAAGCTAGCCGCAGCCACTTCAGCACGAGTTCAATCCCCAGCCAGGGAGCTGACCAGCAGACCTCTCCTGACCCACCCGCTGCTCCCCTCAGCAGTGTACTTTGTGGATCTGCCTGTTCTGCTCCCCACTCTGTCTCTGTTGAATCTTCACACCACCCCTGCACCTCTGGCCTGTACACCAGTTCTATATGCATAAATAAATCTTTAAAATAAAATCCTGAAACCTCATTTCTAATGAATAAAAAATTCTATGCTCCAAATATGCTATAATTTGCTTACTCACTTATCTACTGTTGGCTTAGAAGTTTAAAAAAACTTTCTAGCAAGTACTCAATTTTATTTTTAAAGTAGGATATCTAAATATGAGGGAAAGCAGAAGGGACTTTTAGATTTGCTCAATGTCTTGCTGTATAACAAAAATGTAGTAAGTATTCGTATTCTTAGATATTTAACTATATTTCCTATTATTTTCTAAGCTAGAAATAATAGAGGGGGGATTTCTATATCAGACTACAAACACTTCTAGGCTTTTGGTTCATATAACCAGATGGCTTTTCAGCAAGTCCGAATCAGATTCCTGCTTCTCAACAACATACATGAGTGTTCATCTTCTCAGGTGTTGCCACATTTTGAATTTCTGGTAGATTGTTAGGTGGACAGTATTATCTTCTTGTTCTGATTTACATTTAAAAAATCCTACTGTGATCTGGAATGCTTTCAGGGACATTTCTTCTTTTCCAAATTATCTGCTTTCTTACTTACATATTCAGACTATAATCTTTCAATATTATTTTTGTTTCACAATTTAATCACCATTTGACATTTACCTTTAAATGTGTTGTATGAGGTTTTCTGATGAATGAAACATTTACATTTAAGGAAGATAAACCTATCAATGTTTCCTTTGTGAACATTTCCACTTCTCATGCTCTAAAATTCCTTTCCCATCCTTTCTGCGTCAATTTCAATTTAAATCTTTTGCACTATCCCAACATGGAAGAAAGTGGTATTTTGTTTTGCTATATTTATTAAAGCAGCCACTTAATTTTGAATTTGTTCACTTTACTCATTATGGAAAATATATGACTTACACAAGTATAGAGCTACAAAGGATAGTAGACTTTAAAAATGTTTTATGTAGTCACAATATTTTTATTATACTAATCTAAATCTTGAAGAAATTATTACCATTATTACTGTCATATATAACCAATGTTTACTCTATGGCAGTTATCTCACCTATTCTTCATAACAACCTCCTGAGATAAACAGTATTACTAGAAGAAATCCATAGGAAGAACTCTAAATACCTGGTATTTACTATGATCTCAGAGAAATTCCAGTGTAATCATTTATCAAGACTTGGTCCAATCCTATTTCCTTCTGTAGGCTAAGCTGTGTAGTAAGATACAAAGGTTATTTCTATATCTATTCTATTCAGCAGAGTAGTGATGTATAGAAATCTAATCTTCCATAAAGATAGTTAAAGGCAAGACACATGTTTTGCTTTCAAATACTGCCAAAGAAGAAAACTGGGCTAAACCTACAGTTTGTTCAAGTTAAAGCAACATTGGTCAACATTCTAGTAAAATGGCTGTGGAATAAGACAGAACCAATTTTAATCTCATCTGCCTTTTCTTGTTGGTAGAAGATTCTGGGACAAGTCATCTGTTTTCATCTCAACCTCTGACCCCTTTTCTCCCATGTACACCTGGGCTTCTTCCCTAAGAAGTCACAGAGCAGTCGGACTTGGGTGTTTGTCAATCTTCCTCATCTACACTGGGGGTTTTATAGTTTATGTGCTATTTGCCAAGGAAATAGTGGTGTGTCTTCAATTTTCTTCCAACTTGCCTCTTTGTTTTTCTAGAAAAGCAAGTACCACATAGACTTACTCCTGCATCAGTGGCCTTCTCTCTCTGAACTATTGGTTCTCAGACTTTTCCAGCAAAGGATTCATGTCACCAGAATCATTTCAAACAAGATATGGGATACAGTGAGCATCTGACTTCCAGCAGATGCTACAAGGATGTTTTCCCAGAGGACAGTAAAATTACCTGCCCTTGATCAGTAAAATTTCTGTGGGCTCTAAATTCAGCTGGCAGCATTTAGATAACAACTCATCATATCCACATATGCTTACTGAGCTGAGAAGCACACAAATATCTAAAAGGACTGACATGGTTGGCCTCTGTGTAGGTATGAACACAGGTGGTCCTCTGGTATCTGGTGCATGGTACAGACAACTACAAGAAACCCAGGCACACTAAGTACCAGCGCCAGGGCACTGGATGCTCCAGAACCCATGCAGAGGACATGGGCTGACTCTTCTGAAGGGCACCTACCCAGACAGATGTCAGGCTGCCCAACGAAATCAGCACTCTGTGGGGCTAGCCAGGCACTCCAGGCTCCCCATGGTTCAAAACAACACTTTCTCCTGGGAAAAAACATCATTTTTCCCCTGGGATCAACCAGTAATAAAGGGACATCTTAGGCTACTTTAAGGTCAACCCCCAACCCCCATAGGACCTGGCACTATACTGATTTCAATGTGTTTTCTTGAAGAACCTAAAATTAAATTACCACTTAAAGCAAATCTTTTCTTAGAGATGAGCCCTAAAGAAGTTCTAAATGAAAACCACTAATTACCTAGAGGCAAAAAGCTATATTCTAGTACTTTTGCAGAATATTTGCCCATATAAGGGATATTTGTATCATTAATTGTTGCCTTTTATGTAATGACTGGTATACCCTCTTTTTATAAAACAGAAATTTGTACTAGCAGACATATCTATTGCAGTAAAGACAGTTTTCACATGTGAGTTCTCTTTCCTGTCTTAGATTATAAAACCTTGAGGCTGGTGACTATGTCTTAATTTTCCTGTAAGTACTTGCTACGATCTCAGCTGGTGAGAGATACTCTCTGTATAGATGCTTATTTGTAATCTGTGACGATCTAAACTATCAGAGAGTAACTTAAATCTTACCCAAGGTTTGTCTCTCATCTAAATCATTACTGAGGTTGTCTAAGGAAAGGTTATCACTTATGTCACTGACATATGAATCATCTTCAGAAATCTATGGGAAAGAAGAAAAAATTTAGAGTTACAAGAGTAAACAAGTCAGATTTTCACAAAATCTTGACTCCAAACGATCACATATTTTAAATCTCACATTACAAAATATGAACATAATTTTGGATGCTGTTTTTGTAGCAACGCAACACACCAGTCTGCCTAGAAGATGTTCACAGCAATCACCTGTTAGTGAAATTCTTATACTTTCTTGACTTGTTTTCACAAGGAAAACAAAGGAAACTCAAATTGTAGTTCTTGTAATAATCCATATTAATGCTTTTTCAGAATGTGTTAGTGCTTGCATAAATAAGCTATAATTTGTCTTTTAGATAATTGTTAAAAAAAGACTCTCCTATAGAAATTAATAGACAAGATTATAGTAAGAGTACCTCTATATCAAAAGGGCCAACTATGATACTTGCCTATTAAGAAAAGTATGATTTTTATGCATCTATTTAAGACATTACCACTGTATAGTATAAGTTAATTTTTTGTAAAACTAGTCACATTTCAATCATTATTTGCTGTACATTTATATAGGCCAAATGCAATGACTAAACAAATATATAAGATGCTAATTTCTAGTTCTGTAGTAAAAATACTTTATTATAGTAAAAAATTATTACCCTGTAATTAAAAAAGGTAGAACAAATCAAGTTAACAGAAAAATAGGCAACAGCACTTTCTACTTTTGCAGCCTTTCCCCCCTAAGATCATGTATCCTTTCTTCTTTTGGGAGGGTATGAGTCATAGGAAGAGCCTCAAAATATCATGGTAGAAAGGAACCACTGAGTTTTGTGCTTCCAAATATAGGTATTTACAGAACGGGTAAAGCAACAAAAGAGATTTTGGGCTACCTCACTAAAACAGTGCTCAAACCTCATTTTCTGAAGAGCTTGGAGATAATAGAACTTCCTGTGCATCGAAAAACTCAGACAGGGAATCAGTAATGGACAGTCTACTCTCGTTAGAAAGCTGATGAACCAGAGCTCGATTGTCATCTCCAGAGTTTTCCTATTTGAAACACAAAAACAAAAAAAATACACATATTTAGAAACAATCTCAAGAGAAGCAAAATAAACCACTAATTTCATTGCATGATGCACAAGGTCACAAGCCCATGCAAACAAGCAGCTCAAAGCAGAGGTCAGCTCCACCGTTAATGAGAAGCAAGGTTCACACAAAACACAATGAAAAATGCAGGTATCCCCCACATGGGCACCTCACTTATAGGCACTATCACTGCTTAAGCACATCAGCAAATCTCAAAGGATAAAACACTGTTTGGATCAGTCTTGGTTCCATAAAGGGGAAAATTCACCACTCCCTGAATTTTGTCCTCATCTTCTGCTACAGAATGTTTCTTTTCATCCTAAAATTTCCTTTGCATTGTACTAAATGCATAACCTTGCTGGTTCAAAGAAATATAGCTTTCTTCTGCTCTCATGCTTCATAAAGGCCAGTAGATTCCTTTTGATGAATCTCTGGAAAAATGCACAAATAGTATACTTTGGTTCAAAAGTGCTCCTGGTGGCAGACCATTCATTACTCATGGATGAATGAGATCAGTCCTCTTTGTCCATCTCTCTTCTCTCACAGTGACTCTGCAGAGCAAAGAAAATTCCCCAATCGCTTTTATAAGCCTCTATACAAATAACATAATAGAATATCATGCTTTTCTCATCTGGAGTGGCCTGTATTTCCCACTTCACTAGGTCTAGACTTTTCCTTTGGGAAGGACCTAAATACTGTGCTTTTATTCAGTTTGCAAGTGAAAATCCAATTCAACTCAGCAAATTAAGCAACTGCATCATGTTGGTCATGAAAGGATATGATGATGAACAAATAAGGTTTCAGGCCTGAGTAAGGGGTACAAGGAATGCACCCAACACATGCGACTAAGCATGGAAGTGACAGAGTGCTTGAGGGACAGAAAGGAAGGAGAGATTGATTCTGTTAAGGGATTCTGGTTTGGGAAACCTTCCCAAAAGAAGTGACATCTGACGAGAAATTGAAGAATGAGGACAGAATAAGAATAGCTCCTATTTCTCAAGGGGCTGATAAGAGAGCTAGTCCTTGATCCTATTTTCCCAAGCAGTTAAAAGTTCTTTACAACAAACGAGTCCCAGAATAATTTGGGGGAATCAAAGTAAAAGCAGATTATGTCTCTCTCAGAACTTTTACAGGTTTAAGACATAACTCTTCAGTCTCATGAACAAATTATACTCAGGGTGGGGTTGTATACAGGAAGGCCACAGCAGGTTCCCATAGTTAGTAAAGGGCAAGCAGCCCCCTTATGAAATGTTTCCCTCAGGAACATATTTACATGTGTATCCCTTCCTCTTGAATTCTTCCCAAGTAAGACATGGGTCCATGGTATTCAGTGAAAGATCCTGTCCATTTTAATACGCAAACAGCCTTGCCTTCCTCTCCAATTTAGAATCTATAAAAAATTATCATGCTGTCACCCTCAAGGGAAAAGTCTCTCTCTTCCAATTGGGATATAGAATCGTAAATAACCGAGCTCCTGCAGTGCTCATTGGAACAACGGAATGTTCCAATGTTAGGAGCACCTGCCACTGCCATCTAAGACTCTAATGATTTATTTACTTGTTCTAATCATTAATTTATTACCAGTCACTTCAGCTCTCTATCTTCTTGTACTGGACTGATGGATTAGAAGGATTTCTTGACTGATCAGCACTGAAAATAATACCTGTCCCCTTGTTCTTTCTGGGGTTCCACTCCCTCAGTAACTTCCAGTTACTGGAAGTAACTGGAACTCAGCGGGCTGCAGGCATCCAAACAGTGTCTGCAGCAGATGGGACACATGTACAGACATACAAACTCAGCCAGTTCAAGTTGATGATTCCCCTCAAGTATGTAAGGCATGAGAGGCTGGCTGTTTATTTTTTACATTATAAAAAGATAAATGAGCATAGTAAAGGGACAGTAAGGAATACTCAAAACCCATCACACTAACCAACCACTCTACGTAGTTTGGCACATTTCTCTCCAATCCTTTTTATACATATAGCTCTATTTTGTTTGAAATAACTGTACAAATTATATATATACTATATAAAATTTCCTGATTACTCCAAACAACATTGAACCATTATAATTTTTTTTCAAAATTAACATTTGTCCTGATAATAAAAGGAACATGTTCAAAATAGAAAATGCAAAAAAACCATGTAAATAAAATAAATAGCAGTCTCATTACTCAGGTATGACCACTATTAACTCATTAGTATATATTTTTCATAAGAAAATATTCATATATATATATTTGATAAGTTTGAAAAGCTGGGATCACTCCATACATAGCTTATATCTAATCTGCTACAGTCACTTAACAGTATCTTGTGAACACTTCCCCAGACTGTTAAAAGTTCTTTAAGACAAGGGGTGGGGGGGAGGGAAATGCACCACGGGATTATGGTGATGGCACACGGGTGACTTGGTGATGGGAAACCCACGGGGATTACAATTGAGATGGAAAAAAAAATGTACAAAATGATGTAATAATAAACTTTTGTAATAAAATAAAAATAAAAAAAGTTCTTTAAGACAAATAATTACAGCTGGCAGATAGTATACATTATTATTATCTACATCTGACACCTGCATTGAAAATATTTTTTCTAGCCTAATATTTGCCTTCTTATTTTTCATACATACCATTTTTTTCCTTAAAAAGTTTTTTCTTCCTAAAAAATTCCTTTATTTGGAATCTAAAAATAATATAAAATAATCAAATACTCACATCCAGTAAACATTTCTTTGGTAATTTTTCCTCTTGCTTCTAAATTTAGGAAGTCTTCTCTACTCAGTCATTCAGTAACTATTTAAATCAACATGTTTCAGTTTGAATTTTTATATTTAATTCACTAGCAATCCATGTTAATATGCAATAACTACTTTCCAAATTGGTTTTTAAATGTGCTAACCTAATTTATTAATTAATCCATTTTCCCCCATACAGAATTGAGCCTATAATATCATTGATTTACTTTTATATATTAAATGGTGCTTCTGCCTGATAAGACTTATTCTGTGTTATTTTTATACCATCATCCCTGTATTTTCATCACTGGAGTTACACTATGGTTTTTATTTTCTGGCCAGATATATCTTCCCTCACTCCACTGTAGTATGGTTTTGTTGAGAAAATAATTGCCTTGAATTCATTAGATGTGGGCCTACCTCTTATTAACTGTGGCCTGAGGGAAGATATTTAACCCTCTGGGTTTTAGTTTCCATGTTTCTAAAATGAAACTGCCATCACCTATCGTACATAGTTGTGGTTAGGATTTGTGAGATCATTAACACATTCAAATGGATATGGAATATTGTAAAGAAGTAGGCAATTAAAAGAATAATAAGTTTCCTTCTCCTTTTAGGCTTTTCTTTAAAAATTTCACCGATTTGGTTTTTAAAATGGACTTTAGATTCAATAGGATGCTATCCCCCAAATCATTAGTCTTTATTTGGAATCTAAAATAATGTAAAATAATAAAAGAATTTATAACCTGATATTAAATGCTCACATTCAGGCATATAAAAGGAGGATGGTAGGATGTAGGAATGATTTCTCATGGGAGTGAGGGGGCTTTGGAATCTAAACCCCCAGGCACAGTTCCAAAAACAGGTAATCTGGGTGGTTGAAAAGTGGCAGAAGGGCCCTCCCTGGTGGCACAGTGGGTTAAAGAGCAGCACTGGGAAGCTAAAACCACTTGAGAATGAGTTCAGTCCCTGCCTGCCCCGGAGGTGACCACATGGTGTGGCAGACCTCTGCTGACCCACCCGCTGCTCCCCTCAGCAGTGTACTTCATCAGTTGGCCTGTTCTGTTCCCCACTCTGTTTCTCACCACCTCTGCACCTCTGGGCCTGTACCCCAGTTCTGTATGCATAAATAAATGAATCTTTAAAAAAAAAAGTGGCAGAAGATGAACCATGTGAGAAGTCACAAGGCGTTGGGCTGACTCCCCTGTGGGCACTGCCATTTCTGACAGTGAGGTACCAGTGAGCTACTTACAATAAACTGGAGTAGAGTTTTCAGGGTCTGGGACAGCCATTTCCACTTATTCTCTTATTTCCTGAAGGCAACAATAGCTTTCTCCTTACCAGCAAAGTTAGCTCAATGACTTGTGGGTTAAAGACAAAGAAAACAGACTGTTTTTGAAAGGGGAAATAGACAAATGAGACAACAGTTCCATCAATTCAAGAAGCTAAAAACTGTTTAGGAAGGTGTGAGTTTGAAGGATGTTATCACTTCTGCTCAAGGACAATTTGCAGCATGTAAGCAGCCAGGTATACAGTTTGTGAGATCAATTTAAAAACATGTATTTTGAAAGACTTGTGATTTTGGTTTCTTTTCAAAACTCAAACAGTAAACATAAATTCATAAATTCAAACATAAATTCATAAATGCATAATGGTCAACCATCCATTTCTCTATTTAGCAACTAAATTGTTAAACAGGTATAGTTAGGAGATAATACTATTTGAAAGGCGAGTATTACCTAGAAATAGACATGACGTCCCACAGAATGCCATGGCCATTTGGCAGCCAACAACCCTCAGGCCTGTCATAGTGACTGGGTGCTGCTTTAACAAATGTGCAGATTTGACACAGAGCCTGTGAGCCTGTCAGTGAGCACCTTCCTGGGCCCTGGACTAAAGTGAGGGCCGCCACTAAGTTTTGTTGTTCAATTCTTAGGTGATCAGTTTAAAGACGGGGTTAACCTGACTGACAAAATCTATTTGGGATAGTGAATGTGTAGAAGAATTTCACCATCAACCACTGTCTCAGATGTAATAAGGAATCTAGGACCCTGTACAGAGAGTGGGTAACACCCCATCAGAAGAAAGTGTTCCTTTAACATTAGCATGGACTGTGCTTCAAGTGGAGGTTACACCAGGCCTCAAGTGTGTGAGATGATTGGAGACAGAGGCAAACAAGACAGCCTCTCTGGGGGTGAAACTACTGTGAGAGGGTTTTGTTTCTTTGAGAATAGGAAAAGGAGGAAGAGGGATTAAGATTACACATTAGTAACTCCTTTTTAAAATGTACATCCCCTCACACACATATCTTGTATATCACCTTCCTTACTTTTTATTTTACATGAGCTCAACGTAATTCAGTTATTAGTGAGAAATTCTGCATATCTGAGGCAGGCATGCAAAGTATAAGAGTTAGCTAAAAACCACTTTTAAACATTAGGTTTTTCAACTGTTTTTTTTTAATAATCATTTGCATGTTTCTAAAATTTCTCACTTTAGGCCCTCCCTGGTGGCGCAGCAGGTTAAAGCACAGCACTAAGAAGCTTAAGCCACTTCTGCATGAGTTCGATTCCCGCCTGCCCCGGAGGTGACCATATGGCGTGGCAGACCTCTCCTGACCCGCCCGCTGCTCTCCTCAGCAGTGTACTTCGTCGATCTGCCTGTTCTGCTCCCCACTCTGTCTCTGGTGAAGCCTCTCGCTGCCCCTGAGCCTCTGGCCTGTACCCCAGTTCTGTATGTACAAATAAATAAACCTTAAAAAAAAATTTCTCACTTTAAACACACTCAAAGGATAGTTTGGAGAAACATCCCAAGTCTTGATAAAACAATTTTTTAAACTCACCTAAGTACTTCGATTGTCATACAATATTTTCTATGTCCATAAAACACTGGTACTGCAAACCAATGTTACCATGATAAAAATGATACAATTAAAAAAATAAAATAATAATTTAAAAAAGAATTAAGGCCAAAAAATTTGCATTGTGGGGTGGGGAGCACGGGAAGAAGAGGCACAATGGGCTGTGGGGATGGCCATGGTGTCTTGATGCTGAGTGTGGAGTGGTAACATACAGCTCCATCTCTACATCATATACAGAGTTGTAACCCAACTCTGTATGGTTTATACCATAAGCCATCTGTATGGTTATGTATAAACCATATATAATTTAAACAAATAACATCATTTAAAACAAACGAACAAAGTCATACAAAAGAGAAGGGAACAGCCGTGGGAAGATGGGATAGTGGTTCTCACAGAAAGCACAGAAGGCAGGCAGAGAACTGGGGTAATGTTCTTGAAAATAAAGTTATGGAAGAAAATATGTGTCTCTCTACAGTTCCCACTTCATTAATACTTAATGAAAAGGGGGATAGTTAGGAGGGAAATGGGGGCAAGGAACTACAAAGTAAGAGTTTTTTGGGGGAGAGGGAAAGCAGCTTAAAATACAATTAGCAGCATATGCTCAAGAAGCCTGAGGAACCCAGGATGCTGGTGCCACCGCAGGCAGGCCTGGAGTTGGGTGGAGAGGTGAGCACCACTCATGAGGGGGAGGTGGGAGACAGCGCGACACGTAGGAGTGGCGGTCGCGAGACATTACCCGACAAGAAGCCTTACCCACCTCTGCCAGACCGTCACCCGAATTGGCAGCAGCGGGGGGCTCGAGGAGCAGAGACTCAGCATGGATTCTGCGTAAGCGTTCTTTAAGGTCTGTGTTTTGTGCTAAGGCCTGGAACATGTTAAAAATAGTGGGCTATGTTAATAAAAGGATGTTTCAGAGAAGAACAGCAGAGGGCCCAGAGTGTCCGAGCCCAGATGGGGCACTTCCTGGACCCTTTCCTTGGATGCCAGGGTGCCAGCTCTGAGATGTCTGGGAGATAAAACATACTAAATTCTGGAAATGGTGACCTTTTTCTAATCTCATTTCCAGGGGTAGAAGGAGAGGTTGGTAAGGCTATCCTTTTGGTGCAGGAGAAATTCATAAGCACCTTCAGCTCTTATAAGGACTGTTTCAGGGCATCTTCCTGCCCAGCAATGCTTAGTCAACCAGCAAACCTCCTAGGATTCCCCAGTTCTCTCATGTTTAGAAAAGAGGCTGCTCCTATCCCTTATGACTGGACATATTTTTTTTTTATAATTACAAAAATTGCTTTACTCTTTTGCTGTTACAAGGTGTTTGGTCCTACAAAGTTTAACTAAGACTACTACACTGAAATTGAGTAAATGTACTACGCATTTGTATTTTGGCTTTGATGCTTTAGGTGGACTTTCAATCCTGCTGTTCTCACTAAAGCAAATATTGGACATATTGTATTGTCATTGAATTATCACTCCAGCTGCCCTGCATCTCAAAAGTGTGCTGGGACGTAGGATTTTGTGAAAAAAAATTTTATTATTTTCCGATATAAGCATTGATTTTTTATTAATGTAGTTTTCTTCCGTCAATGAGATACTATTAGAAGCAATCCCACTTACCTGGAAAAGAGCTAGAGCTACGCCCTGGGAGCAGGTGGGTACGAGATGGCGGCATGTGTGAGCCCATCCCCGACCTCGTTCATTTCTCCTTCCATAAGGAGGTCTGATTCCCTACCCCAGTTCCCAGACCAGGAGGGAACTGGCTCAAGGCTAAAGGAAGTTGCTTCCTTTAGGCTGACATCAGTGTACTTCCTGACCAACCATTCTCCAAATGGTCTGTCTTTGGAAAGTTACAAGTTCCTCTGATTGCCCACCCCCACACTTGCCCACAATCAGCTCCCCAAATGCTTGCACACAGATCTGTCTGTCTTCCTGACTCTCTTCCAAGGAGCTTCGCAGCCTTCCCATCCATCAGGCCCACAGGGTCTACCTGTGAGAGCACGGGAGGATATTGGCACTATCTCCCTCTGTCTCGAAACCAAACAAGGATTTTGGTTTTATTCTTTACTACTTATGGATGATTTCAATTAAATGAATCATATTTAAAACAGAGAAGAACAGGTTTTTTTCCCAAACAACTGCATTTAACAATCTCTATGGCTACTCTATTGTGTCCAATATGTTGCTGGTCTTTCCATCTAAGCATTAGGATCTTAATACAGTCTAAAATATGTGTTATTTCAATAATTTCTAATTTTAAATTATAGACGGAAAAAAGAATACCAAGATGGCACACACAGCACAAAAATATCCGATCTGATTGCTCAGAGATGACTCTAAAATTTCTATAAACAAACAAAGTCTTGAATCTAATCATTATTGTTAAGTTTCCAAAATCCTGAACAAGATGAACTCCTTAGTGAAGAAAACAACTTTAGGTGCCAAGGCAAAGGGATCTCAGTGGTCTCTAGCAACCAGAAAGAGTGGTCAGTGAGGACCATACACACTGGTGGCAGCTAGGGAAAGGCAAACTATACTTAAGGGGATGTGGAGAAACTATCAGAGGCTCCTTCTAAGTACACTAACAGTCAACCAACTGGGAACAATAAGCAAGCTTCCATCACTAAAATATAAAACTTAAAAAAAAAAATAAAAAAACACCTTGTGTCTCTTAACCCAGAGTAGGAGCACCCATCAAGGAGAAAGCTAGTCATAAGGTTCCCAAAGGGGCTGTTTTATCTTTAACCTTAAAGCACCCAAGTGCTCCTCCAGGAAGAGGACATTAAGACCTTCCTACATGGAAAAAGCATTCTGGAATGCTCAGCTGAGTGAATGTTCTTCAAGAAATATACAACAATATGTGCTACCAGTAATGTATTTACCATAAATATTACCTAAGAACACTACTTTGCTTCTCTCAGTCAATAATAATGAATAGAAAATATGAATGGATTTTCTAGTTTTCTCAATGCCTGCATTGGCTTCTGAAAACATGCTCTTAAAAATTCTTCTCTCCTGATCCTAAACAGGAAGCTCAGTATTGACTCAGATGATAATTTCAAAAGTGCACATATTCTCTCTCTTTTGTACAGTGAGAATTTCAGAGTAAAGTAGCACACGTATACACAGTAGGAAATAAGCATAGATGGTGTTCACTACTCATGAGTTCCACATCCACAGATTCGAAAAACCATGGATGGAAAAATGCTATGTACCTTCGCCTACAATGTTTGCTTAAGTTTGTCAGAAGTATGCACCGATTTTTTTCCTTAAAATTACTCCCTGAACAATAACATATAACAATATATATATATATTGCATTTATATCGTATGAGACACAATTAACATAAAGATGATTTAATGTATATAGGAGGATATGTAAAATTATATGCAAATATTTTGTCATCTTATAGAATAACTTAAGCATCCATGAATTTTGGAATCTGTGGTGGTGGGGAGGGGGGGAAGGGTCTTAAACTAGTTAGCCCCCTTCAGATTCCAAAGGATGACCATGTTATTTTAAAAATTCTCTGGCTTTCCAATAGATATATGGTGAAAACAGACAATATCAGTTCACAGCAGAGTTCTATGACAATGCACTTAAATAAAACACAAGTCTCCTGAGGAATAATCTGGAATTAATGAAAAAGAGGATTGAAAGTGACTTACAGGATGGCTTACTGGGTAACATCTGACATTAAGAAGTGATTTTTCTGTTGTTATGAAGGCAAAATAATTACCTGACATTCTGTATGATATCTCTTTTTGTCCATGGAGGAGGAACAAAGATAAATCTTTTTTGTGCTATCAAATCAAGTTCTTGTTGTTGAGAGAGGAGTAAATAGGATTGGTATTGTGCAGAGAAGATAAGAGTATGATTTAGAAATTTTACTCTACTACTTGTCATTTAAAAAGTCTATCTAGGCTTGCAGAGCCTTAGGGACTGTCAGATTTTGTAAGCATTAACAAATAAATGCTTACATTTAACAAATAAACACCCAAATAACAAATAAACACCCAACAAAAGCTTACAGAAACAGAAAAATCAAGAGGTGTAGTAGGTAACCAAACTTAAAGTAACACTTAAAGTCCTAGCTATTAAGACTTCGGGTAGGCTCAGTATTGGAGTTGATATTCAGTAGCTCTGATGAAAGATTACAAAATAATTTGGCTTATGTATTTGGTTTTCTTGTGCCTTTTCTATATAGCCATGAAAATCATAAATTTTCAATACAACCTGGGAGATGGAAAATATGAAAAAATGTATGAACCTGGACACATTGTTGGGTATTTCATTGACAAAGACATGTAACTTACGGATGACAGGGCATGCTTCAGACCAAGGACCTGGGCAGATGGGGAGGCAGAGACATCCTGTTCCATCAGCTGCTTCAGTTTTTCTCTCTCCGTGGATATGGTATTAAAAGCTGACCTTAAAGTTAAGTAAACTATAAAGATATAATCATTACAAAAAAAAAAAAGGAATAAAGAGAGAGTCATCATTAATATGATACAGAGATTTTCTGATACAAGAACTTAGAAAATTAACAGTCCTAAATATTTTGAGTACAGCAAATATAGACCCCAATACGGCTTTCAAAGCACATTTATGTATATATACATCACCAAGTTAACTTTGATGGAAACTACGGATTCTGGGTAATGATGTGTTGATGGAGGTTCACTGACTGTAACCTCAAAAAGAGATATTCCACTCTGTGGGGTGCTGATAGTGGGGGATGCTGTGTATGTATTTTAAAGATTTTTTTAAAAAAGATTTATTTATTTATGCATACAGAACCTGGTACAGACCAGAGGTGCAGGGGCTGTGAGATGATTCACCAAAGACAGAGTGGGGAGCAGAGGGCAGGTCAGGAGAGGTCTGCCATGATATGTGGGTCACCTCCAGGGCTGGGGATCAAACACACACTGAAGCAGCGTGCAATATACAGCTTGCAATGCTGTATACTAACCCCTTGAGCCACTAGGGAGGACCCCACTGCTCAATTTTTCTATGAGGCTAAAACTGTCCTAAAAATATCGACTATTGAAAATTTTAAGTCACATTCACCTGACAGTTCTTATCACTTATCCACTATAAAAATCCCCTAATTTTAAAAACAGATTCATTTATTTATGCCTACAGAACTGGGATACAGGCCAGAGGTGTGGTGGGTGAGAGGGTTCACCAGAGTCAGAGTGGGAAGCAGAACAGGCAGAGTGACAAAGAACACTGCTGAGGGGAGCAGCGGGCGGGTCATGAGAGGTCTGCCACACCACGTACATCAGCTCCGGGTACGCCAGGGATTGAAATTATGGTGCAGTGGCTTCAGAGAGCTTCCTAATGCAGTGCTTTAATCCATTGCGCCACCAGGGAGAGCCCCATATCCCATAATTTTATGTCTTATTAAAAAGAGAAGTTGATACTTGAAAGAACTGCACTTCTGAATTTTCAAGGATCAACATTTAGATTTTTTTTTTACCAGGCTTTTAAAATATAATGTTCATTGTGACAAACATTTAACAGTGGCATTCAATTTCCATGTAAGGAGCTTTGGAATAGATCTCAAATAAAATGCCCTATAGTCTTTGACCCAGCAATATATATTCCTAGAAACTTATTCTACAGAACAATTTAACCATGTGTACTATGAAACATGTATGAAAGGTTTCAGAGAACACTCCAATGGCAAAAGACTAGAACTATAGACATACACACACACACACACACTTCTAAGTGGTGGAGCAGCTCTAGAAAGAGAAGCAAGAAATTGGCTTCTGGAGAAGGTAACTTACTGGTATTGTTTATTGTATTGTCTATTGAGATTATTCAACTCCAAAGAAGGAATTTAAAATAAAAAAAGGCTGGGACAGAAAAAGTGGAACAAATAGCACTAAATATCACTATTTGGCTTTGTTCATGTCCCCAAAGAGTGGCACTGTTTGAAATCAAAGCACACCGGTTGTCAGGAGACATGGTAATGACTCAGCAGAGACTGGACAACACCTCAACCAGGTGGCAAAATGAATCACCAGTAAGAGACAGGACTGTGTGTGCCTCTAGGTAGAACACCCTGAAGAGCACACACCCTTGTTTTTGTTATTCTCCAGTGAGGAATATATACTTTGAATCTGATCCCGAGGAAACATCAGACAACTCCAAATGAGGAACATTCTATTTTCATAAACTGGCCTATATCCTTCAAAGGTATCAGTTTCATCAAAGAGAAAATCTTAGGAACAGTTCCCAGTGAAAGAAAACTAAAGAGGCATGACAAGTTAGAATAAAAGATGTCATCATGGTGACAACATTTGAATATAGAATGTAATTAGACAAAAGTGCTGCTTCAAAATTAAATTTCCTGAGTCTCTTCATTAAACTATGGTTAAGTAACAGAACATACCTATTATTAGGACATACATACACTACAATGTAGAAAAAGACATGATGTAGTATTCCTCTTTCAATTGGGTCAGAAAAATATACACAGAAAAATGTGCACATGTGTCGAAGAAAGAAAAACAAATGCCACAAACTGATAAATTTGGTTAAAGAAATATAGGACTTCTTCGCATTATTTTTGCAAGTCATCTCTAAGTTTGAAGTTATTCCAAATAAGGTGCTACCCACAAACATGCCCCTGACAAACGCAGAATTTCTCTCCTGTGACTGTGGCATTCAACCCCTTTGTTCTCTCCAGTGAGCACCAGGCACTAAAAGCACTTCATTCCATCACACACTCAAACATCTGACCTGAGGTTTTAAAAACAACTAACACAAATGGCAAGAAAATTATCAGATTTTGATCCCATAATGTACAAGGTACCTGTTAGGGATGAGAAAACTGTCAGTTAAATAATTGACTATGGGTCTGCTAATCCTAAGTGGCCTGTTGGGTCACCATTTTTGTCACTTACAGTTCTGCATTCCTGTACAAGGTCAGAACTGCCCGGTCAATCACCTGTAGGAGCCCAACGCTGCCAGGTGCCTTTCAAATCAATCAAGAGCAGAAACCTTGATCACCCTGGGAAGGGTCTGCATCGTGAGGTATAGCCAAGAATGCTGGAGGATACTGACTGATGTATGACAAGGGACTGACCAGAAGCTGATCAGCCTTGTTGATAAGACTGAAGCCCAGACTGGGGAGCTAGTGCTTGGTTTCAATCTCAATCCCCAGAAAAGTGCCGTGGGGGACAGACTCAGATGCCAGATACCAGAGGTGGCAGGGCACATTTTCTAGTTTCACCCCTCCCTTTGCTCTTTGTCTTCATCCCTGATAACAACTGATGCTGGATAATTCTATGAATAAAAAGGCCAGGATCTTGACCTTTAAGCAGCTTCCTGCATTACACAGCTTGTCCCACAATCCCCTTTGTCAGTGCGGTGTTGTCAATGAAACACTTGACCATAGGTATTATCTTTCCAATCTCCTTTATTATATTTTGTTTTAGAAGCACAGGAAGAAGAGAGTGAGGTGTACTTCTCAAATTCCACAGGATTGCAATTTTAGAGGTATGGCTATTCAAGAGTGGCTGAGTTATTATCACAGAAACTAAATCCCAATTATTGACTTCCCTCGTTTCACTGAACTTGTCGAGGTTGTATGTTTAGAGAAGGACTTAAAGTATCTTCAAAGACATGGTACAAAAACAATTTGTTTATAGACTCACATAAATGATGGTGCTTCTGTCAACAGAAGACGGGGTTATGGACCAACAGGTATTAAATTTCTAATACTGTGTATGGAACATGCTTAGCTCTAACTCTTCACTTTAAACACTCAGCTGACAAAATAATTGGTCACAGAGTTACTGATAATGTAGCCTCCCACAGAACTGGAATCTTCTCAGTGCCATAGTTCATTCATGACATGACCTTGGACAAGAATATGATGTGCCTCAACTCCACTGTTCTCATTGGTAAAAAGGGACAATAATAAAAGTTGTTTTATAAGATCATTCTGGGGATTAAATAAGATAATACAGATAAAGCACTTAATCTAATGCATGACATAGAATAAATAATAAATGTTTGTGCCATTATATAGCGGCAGGCATAAAAGATGCTTTAGTCACTTGCCAGAACAAAGAACTTTGCTTGCAAAGAACTACACACAGGGTAGGTTCTATGAACCAGGGATTGACTGGAATCTGTTGAACAGCAGGACAGCAGCCTCAGCTGGAGAGTAAGAGCCAAGAAGTTAGTTCACAGCACCTTCTGTCTGATTAGATGCCTCTCCCTTGGCAGCACAGGGCATTCAGCCAACCAAGTGGGTCCCAGGAGAAACAACGCTTTGCTGTCATGTTTTTGCTGAAATTAAATAAATGTGAGGACTCAGCTAGCCGCCACTTTACTAAATCAATGCCTCTGGCTTTCTATGGCCTGCAGCAAAGGAAGGCATTCTGAAATAAACTAAATACCTTCTACTACAAATTTTAAAATCAGCAGAATAGATAGTACTTGAATCAAAATGTAGAGCTGACAAGAGGCACTAAAAAAGGCAGAAAGAAACTCAAATAGTCACTCTTTCTTATTTTAAGGTGTCAAGAGCTTTCTAAATCACCAGAAAAAAGGGCTCAGAAAGAACAGATCTCTAGACACTAAATTTCTTAAGAGACTGCTAAGACTCACTCAGTGGACATTAAAGAGTCATTCACAGCCATGTAATGACTCAGCACACACAGAGCAATGATTTAGAGGCCACCCATGGGAGACTCTATTTATATTGATCGTTAAAGACACAGGATCCCAAAGGTCAGGAATATTCTCTGTAACAGGAGTGCTTTCCTATTAATGTCTCACATGATTCTAGAGGAAAATAAGAAGTTTAGAGAAACTGAAAGAGCCAAATGAATGTATCACATCAATAAAAATCTGATAATAAACCAAACTACAAGGAAAAATCTCAGATGCTCATTTAACAGGGTGGTCCTCAGGAAAAGGGGACATTCAGGTTTCCTGCCCACCCAAAGGAGGTTGGAGCTGAGTTCAGAGAGAAAGCTCGAGAGGAGACTGGAGAAGGGAGGAAGCAGGCTGGAGAGCCAGAAAGAGACCTAGAGGAGGCATATGGAGCAGAGAGACATGTAAAGAAGCTGCACTTGCTTTTTGGTTCCGGACTGGTTGAAACAGATGTGGGTGAGAGAGAGACCCATGGGGAGCTTAACTATGGCAATCTTTATCTTGATTTTGATTTTGCTCTTTTCGTCCCAGATTTGTCTCACTGTTACTGACCCTATTTTTATGGGTCCCTGCTGGACCCACAGACTTGAGGTTTAGACTTGTGGCGGGCTTTCAGGCCTTGATTTGGGCCAATCCTATTTGGCAGGATTTTTTACCCATGAGGGGATGGGTAACTTTGGGTGCTTGATTTGGAAACTATGTTGTCTTTTCTGTATTGTACACTAATTGTATTAAGTTCCTTTCTATTAAAGGTCTATATGTTTTGTC